TTACCGTAGAGTCTATTAACTTACTCCTCTTTTTAAGACTATCTGTTGAATCCTGTAATCCATCTAACCTCCTCATCGCCTGGACTTCTTTTGGTTGGGAGATTTTTGATGGCCTGAATCAATATCTTCTTTTGTTATGGGTCTGTTCTAGTTTTCTACTTCACTCTGTGTAAGTTTAGGTAGGGTGTGTTTTTTAAAAAATATATCCATCTCTTCTAAGTATTTCAATCTTCAGTTGACCTCCCAGCTACTTTGAATTTGTTGTGGTAATTTTGTTCTGTTCTGGACTCTTGCTTTCTGTTGTCTGAGTTTCGGGTGGTGTTGCCACACCTGTCAATCTCTGGTTGTTGTCAGTTCTTGTTGGTTTTCAGTCCAAAGAACTCCCTTTAGGTTGTTTTGAAGTGCTGGATTGGCTTTGACAAAATCTCTTAGCTTCTGTTCAGCCTGGAATGTATTTGCTTGACATTTTTTCCGGATAGACGATTCTTGGTTGTCAGTTATTTTTTTAGGATTTTGTTTATGTCTCCCCATTGCCTTCTTGCCTGCATGATTTTGCTGAGAAGACAGAGCTTAATCTGATTTGTTTGCCTTTGTAAGTGACTCTTCTCTTTTCTCTGGCTGCTTTTAGGATACTCTCCTTGTCTTTGATTTTGGAGAGCTTGATTAGTATATGTCATGGTGACTTTCTATTTGGGTGTCTATTCTTCTGGGGCACGTTCGGCTTCTGGAACATTTATCTTCTCATCTTTCAAGTTGTTAGGGAAATTTTCCTCCAGAAGATCTTCAACTATGTCCTCTGTGGACTTCTATTATGATTCTTCCTGTTCCAGAATGTCAATAATTCTTAAGTTGTTCCTTGTTATGTTATCCACCATGAATCTTAGACTCTTTTTCAGATTTTTAATCCTTTTTTCTGCTTTCTATTTTAGCAGTATTGAGAGATTTGTCTTCTAGCTCACTGGTTCTGGCTTCCACTTCTATTCTGCTCCTTGCCCCTTTCCGTGTATTGTCCATTTCTGACATTTTATTATTAATTATCTGGACTTCTTTTTGCAGGTTTTGAATTGTTTCCAATGCTGTATTGTTCTTGTTTGATTGCTCTTGTAGTACTTTCCTGACTTTTTCCTTATTTTCCTCCACCCCCTTTGGGGATATTTGAATTTGTTTCCATATTTTTCTTCTGAATTCCTTCTCAGTTAAATCCAAAACCTGTTCTTCCTCTTCTGGAAAACCTTTGTCTGTCGCCAACTCATTTGTCTCAGTTACTCTTTTCT